GTTTTTATAGCCTGAGACTACAGAGACCTCCCTACTGAGATTAGCTGAACTTGCCTCCTGGTTCAGCTGTATATGGTAAGCCCACTTCCTTAATTCAGACTTACAAAACAAACTCGCAGAGTTATCTGGGTTGCTGTTGTTATTGAGTCTCCTTCAGAGCGCACCATGGCCCACCTAACCCCAGCTTTTCTGTGTGGGTGTGTCTTAATTACTGTTCTATTGCTGTGAAGAGACACTATGACCAAGGAAACTTTTATAGGAAAGCGTTTAACCGGGGGCTTGCTTACAGTTTCCGAGGGTGAGCTTGTGACCATCATGGTGGCAAGCCTGGGCAGGCAAGCAGTAGCAGAGAGCTTCCATCCTGATGGCAAGCAAGAGGCAGAGAGGTGGGGGAGGGGAAGAGAGAGGGAGAGAGAGTGGGCCTGGGCCTGGGTTTTAAAACCTTAAAGCCCACCCCTAGGGACACATCCCTTCCAACAAGTCCATACCTCCTAATCCTTCCTAAATGGTTCTCCTAAGTGGGGATTAAATGTTCAAATGTGTGAGTCTATGGGGTCATTCTCATTCAAACCACTGCAACGTGTCTGTGGTTTCTCCGCTCCCTGTCACCGCAGTTAGCCCAGCCCCTAAACCACGCGTGTAGTGCTCACTCAATGGCAGTCAACACAGAAGACTTCTGCCACCTTCAGAGGGTACAACGATCTCTCCCCAGCCAGTCCTGCAGTGGGTGCCAGCAGTCTGCTGCACTACCTGTCACGGCAGGGAGGTCATGGCAGGAGGAAGTGGAGACACCTGGTCACACTGCATTTGCAGTCAGAAAGGGATAAACACTTCCTCAGCTCACTTCCATTTTGTATTCAGTAGAGAAGCCCAGCCTCTGGAGGGGTGCTGCCCATGTTTAGGGTGGGTCCTCTCACTGCAGATAAACCAGTCTAGAAACCTCACAGATGTGCCTGGAGGTTTTTCTCCAAGGTGATTCTAGACTGTCAAGTTGACAATACACATTTACCTGGAAGCAGCGTGAAAGCCGCAGGACATCTTCCATCAACATCACACCAGTCGCGAGCTCCACATTGTTTTTGACCAAGTGACTGTAAACTGGGTGTTCTGGTTTGATTTCTGTTACTGTGACAGATACCCTGACCAAAAGCAGCACATAGAGAAACGAGTGTACCCACACTGCCTGCCTGTGCTTCTGACTCTAACCTAGCTCTCTCTTGTCTTACACAGTTCAGAAACCCTTGCTTAGGGGATGGTGCTGCCCACAGTGGGATAGGCCTTCATACATCAATCAGCCATCGGACAATCCCCCAGGGACAGGCCCACAAGCCAACCTGAGAGAGACAATCCCTCAACTGAGGCTCTCTTTTCAGGTGAGTCCAAGTTGTGGCAAGTTGACAAAGAAAATTAACTGGGACACTGGGTTTATATGCATGTACTTCTGTGTACATGTAACTGAAGAGTCCATTTTAAGAGTGGTACACTTGAGTCATATAGGAGTTCTGTTTTAGTTTCTTGAGTTTATCACCCACTCCTGACTTGTTAGAACAGTTCGTGAAGTTCAGGGAAGCACTACATTTACTGGATTATTACAAAGGATATTTTATTATCAGCTTATATTTATTATACAAAACAACAAATTCTATAGTAGAATGTCTTAAGGTGTGTTACTTTTGTTTATGTTGCATTTGTTTAACTCTGTGAAGCTGTGTTACTGTGCCTGTCTAAAACACCTGATGGTCTAATAAAGAACTGTACAGCCAATAGTGAGGCAGGAGAAAGGATAGGTGGGGCTGGCAGGCAGAGAGGATATATAGAGGGAGAAATCTGGAAGAAAAGGAGATCTAGCAGCCGGAGAAGAAGGAGGACTCCAGGGGCCAGCCACGCAGCTACACAATCAACAAGCCACAGAGGAAGAGGAAGATACAGAAGTAAGAGAACAGGAAAAGCCCAGAGGCACAAGGTAGATGGGATAAGTTAAGTTAAGGAAAGCTGGCTAGAAACTAAGCCATACTAACGCTTGGCATTTGTAAGTAAGAATAAGCCTCTGTGTGTGAATTTATTTGGGAGCTGGGTGGCAGCCCCCCAAAAGAGAAAAAATACCAATAGCAACGCAATTCATTATGATGTTTTGACATTTTTTGTGCCTCAATTGTTCTCAGGGCCCATTTTTGTCTCTAATCCCCCCTCCTGGTTTTCTTTACCCCAAAATACTCTACAATTTTCATGTCCTAGTTCCATCTGACAAAATACCCCAACAAACTCAACTTTAAAATAAGGCATGATGATGCCTGCCTTTAATCCTGGCACTTGGGAGGCAGAGGACAGCCTGGTCTACATAGTTCCAAGCCAGCCTGGTCTACACAGAAAGAGAAACAACACAATGAGAACCTTTCAGAGGAAGAGGGTTTATTTCACAACTCAAGGTTTATAGGTGATCGCTGTGGGGCAGTCAGGGCAGGAACTTGAGGAAGCCAGCCACATCCACAGTCCAGAACAGTAAGAAAAAGCATGCCTGTCTATGCTCAACTCGCCTTCTCCTCTTTAAACAGTCTAAAGGCCAAACCCAGAGGAGTTCTGCCAACAGCAGACTAGATCTTCCTATGTCAACTGATGCTATCCAGACACTTCCCTACAGACATGTCTACAGGACAACTTAGTCTAACAATCCCTCCCGAGACTCTCTTCCCAGGTGACTCTAGGCTGTCACAATGTCTTTCTGAGTCTGGCTCATTTCATTCGTTTTCCGGCAAACATGGTGATTTCATTCTCTAAGGCTCAATAAAAATACTGTTAACACATTCATCACATTCTCTTCATCTGTTCCTCCAGATGGACTTTAAGGTAAATTCCACATCTAGGCTGTTAGGAATAGTGCCTCAATAAACGTGAAGGGACAGGTGTCTCTGTGGTATGTTGTCTTAGAACCCTTTGGGAATCTGCCCAGGAGTTAGGCATAGTGGGATCAAATGGTAGTTCTATTTTTACTTGTTCTGCCTGCCTGCCTGCCTCCTTTTCTCTACTTGTCTATGTTTTGGAGACAAGGTCTCATGTAGCACAGCCTGTCTTTGAACTTTCTGCGTAGCTAAGGGCCACTCTGAACATCTGATCCTCCTGCCTGTTCCTTCCAGGTCCTGAGAATACGGGTGTGAGCACCCACATCCAGTTTACGCAGTGCTGAGGCTCAAACCCAAGGCTTCACAAATACTAGATGATCATCCTATCTATTGAGCTACATCTTTAGTTTCTTCAGGAATCTCCATACTGATTTCCATAGTGACTGCTCCATTCCCACGGGAAGTGAACAATGAATATTTTTAAAAGACACAAATCAGTAGTCATGGTCAGCAAGGTCCCAAGCCCAAGCACTCCTGTCTCAGTGGAGTTCCCATAGTTTCTTACACTCATCTTTTTGGGGCCTTCCAAGTGTTTGGCTACCTGTAAGCTTTCTGAACTTGGTTGTTTGGGGTGGTGGTGGGGTTATGGATACTTGATTAAGTATGATTGGCATGATAAGCCATTGGCCATTGGTGATCAATTCACCTTCTGATAACTGATCTTGTCCCCACCCTGTCTGATTTTCTAGGACCTCTTTAGTAATGTGGTTTGAGTATGCTGAAGCTAGGTGTGGTGGAGTACACCTGTAATCCCAACACTTGGGAGGTGAAGGCAGGAATATTAGGAGTTCAAGGCCAGCCTCTGCTACATGGTGAGTTTAAGGTTACATAAGGCCTTGTCTTACGTCATGTGTTTGAAAGGACTTGTAAGTATATTTCTCCTGTGTGTTATAGCTAATAGAGGATATCTTCAGGAACCAAGGATAATGGGATAAACACTTAAGGAAAACCACTATTATGGATATGTTTAGATAGGAGACATCATGGTTTTAGGTCCCATGAAGCAGGAATCATAGACAAAATAAGACAAAATACAAACCAAGCATGATGGTACATGTTTATAATCCCAGCACCTGGCAGGCTGAGGCAGGAGGATTGCTTCAAGTTCAAGGGCCACATAAGTGAGTCCAAGGTCATTCTGGAATATGTGGTGAAAACTTATTTCACAAAAGGAAAAGAAAGCATCACAATACCCTGTGTTCCTGACCTGCCCCTGCATCGGTGTTCTAATCATTGTTCTGTGGTCGTATTGATCATCTCTTGGACTCAGAGCTCCTGAATTCTGGGACGTTCCCAGAGATATATTCCCCAGACTTTATAAAACCAGCTCCCTGGGGCTGGCAAGATGGCTTAATGCTTAAAAGCACTTGGTGCTCTTGCAGAAGACCAGAGTTCTGTTCCCAGCACCAAAATTGCATGAAACTCCAGCTCTAAAGGATCCAATGCCCTCTTCTGGTATTTGTGGTCACTGCACTCATGTGCACATACACACAGAGAAACATAAATAAATCCTTTTATATTTGGAATCTTTACACACATGTCACCTACCCTGAGAAGATCTCAACTCACCTTATTTGAACCAGCCTTCCCCTAATTCCAGAATGAAAACCTTGCCCTTTATCCTTTGCAGAATGACATACTTTATGAGCTCATAGAGATCATCGCAACACATGGGTAGCAGGACAGCTTTCCAGCTGGGTGTCGGATGGTATTCAAAGCAACAGCCTGGAATCTTCTCCCCCACAGACTGGCCACTCCTGTTTGGCCACACCACTTACTATTGGTCACTCAACCTTTAGCCTTCCTTGTGCTTCAGGGAAGAATTTCAGCCTTGAAATGAAGCAGGTGACTGGTTCCTCTGCAAACTGGTACAACCCTTAAAACACATCAGGTTTTCTAGGGACTTTCCAAAAATTGACTTAACATCATTATTATTGTTGTTCATTATCTTTTTAACTTTTTTTGAGACAAACTTTCACTTTGTAACTCTGGCTGACCTGGAACTCTCCTCTATGTAGACCAGACTGACCTCAAACTCACAGAGATCTGACTGCCTCTGACTTCCAAGAGCTAGAATTAAAGGCATGAACCACTATGTCTGGCTTTTTTTTATTAAACTAGCTTTATTTTAGATGTATGAATTTTTTGCCTGCTTGCATGTATGTATACCATGTGCATGACTGTTGGACCCCCTAGAACTTGGGTTAAAAGTCAGTATGAGCTACCATGTGGGGGCTGGAACCTGGGTCTCCTTGTTCTTAACCAGTGAGCCATCTCTCTAGCCCTTCTTTTAAATGTGTGTGTGTGTGTGTGTGTGTGTGTGTGTGTGCGCGCTGGATGTGCACCAGAACACCTGTGTGGAAGTCTGAGGACAACTTGCAGGAGTTGGTTTTCTCTTGCCACCATGAATACCATGGAGACTCAAATTCAAACTGTCAGGCTTGGTAGCAAATGCCTTTACTACTGAGCCTTCTCACTGGCCTCTGCTATTATTGTTTGAGACAGGGGTTCTCTTTGTAGCTCAGGCTGGTTTCAAACATCCTCCTGCCTCAGTCTCTCAAGTGCTGGCATAACAGATGTGTGCCACCACATTCAGGAACACCTCCCATTTTAGGAAATGCTTGCTTTTTCTTTCTAGCTTAGAATCTACCCTTGTGACAAAGCTCTCAGGTAAATTATGAACCCATTGTAAAGGAAGAGAGCTGAGAGCTGGGTGTGGGTGGCATACTCACACTTTGCAGGGTGAGGCAGGAGGATGGTCAGGAGGATTCCAGGCTAGCTCAGGCTGCCGAGCAAGACCATGTCTCATGCAAAACAAAACAAAACAAAACGAAACAAAACGAAACAAAACGAAACAAAAAAAGGAAGCAAGGAAGTTGTGAGTTTTATGACTTATTCAAAGCAGGGATTAGCATTAAGCAGATGCAGGGTCATAGGCAAAGATATGAAAACAAGGACTGTTGATTAGGTAAGGATGTTCATAGGGGAGATAAAAGGAGACTTGTGGGGTGATAAGAGCTAGAAAGGAGGCCCTTTGGCTCGAGAGCTGTTGCTCTGCGATAGCAGTGACTCAGAGAGGGGCAGGGTTGACAGGGGCTGGGCCCTGTAGAATGTGGGATGGAGTTTGTGTCAAGATATCGGAATAGGAATGAGCTATGCAGAGGGTCTAGAATAGCTGTGGCGAGTCACCTTGAAGTGCATAGGATGTGGTTAAGGCAGAAGATTCTGGACAAGAGAGGCTTTCAGAATGCAAGGAGTCTAGAACCTTCTTGAATATAAAATATACAGTTTTGTCGGGGTAAATATTTTGAGGTTTCCAAGAAGCTCTTGGGGAAGGTCTAGCTACAGAATGCTACTGAGAGGAGTTCATGAAAGGACTGAATAGCATGAATAGAGTTGGGATATGCAGGTACCAACTATCACCTCCAGTTTATGGTGGCCATGATGATGTAGCTGTGGATTTGGATGGTATTTGGGTTGGAGAACTCAAGTTATTGAGGTGTTTCAAGGCTGGTAGAGGGGATGTGGCTGGTAGTGAATGTGACTCTGTGGTTCCAAAGGGACACTTAAGGCAGAGGGGACAGAGAAGGGAGGAGCACACCGTGACTTAGGCACAGTGGGTGGGGGGAGGCACGCAAATTAACCCAGTTTTATTGTATGTCCTTTGTCCATCTCTGCTTCGGAGTGTTCCTGATGGTCTCCCAGATCCAACGCAGATATTTTGAGACTCGTGTGTAGACACCAGGTCGGTTGGGCTGTCCACATGGAAAATCTCCCCATGAAATGATGCCATAGAGTTTGCCGTTGCAGACTAGTGGGCCCCCAGAGTCACCCTGGTTGGAGGAGAGAAAGAAGAGCTCTTGATAAGGCTGAACAGGAGGTAGAGATGGGGGAGATGTGGGGAGGAGAGTGAAAGATGGAGAGAGACAGATGTGGGGAGTCAAAGAGATGGAGAGTCAGAGGGATGGAGAGTCATGGAGATGGAGAATCAGAGAGACAGTCATGGAGATGAGAGTCAAGGGGATGAAGAGTCAGAGAGATGGAGAATTAGAGGGATGGACTGCATGTCTCCCACATTCTCCGTATCTCACCTCACAAGAGTCCTTCCCGCCTTCTTTGGTACCAGCACAGAGCATGTTGGCAGTGATCTTCCCGGGATACACCTGCCGGCACTCCTCATCTGAGCGCAGTTCAATGTTGGCACACTGCAGGGTTTTAGGGTAATTCACTGGGGAGGAGAGAGACCATCTGAGGAGGCTTGTCCTGGGTGTTCAAGAGTCAGAGTGGGCAGGAAATAAGATGGGAAAAGTAAGATGAAGCGAAAGGTGAGGCAGAAAGTAGTAGAGAGACGAAAAATGGACAGACAGACATGGGAAGCAAATGAGGATAAAAGGAGGGGAGGGTGGGAGAGCTAGGGTAGGGGGAGACAGGGACGGGGAGAGATAAGAAACCTGAAGGTGGGGTACTGGGGAGGTACCCCGGTACTTTCCACGCAAACACAAGGACCAGAGTTCAGATCCCTAGAACTTATGTAAATGTTGGGAGCAGGCATGGTGGCCTGCCTGTAATTTCAACCTCAGAAGAGACGAGATCTCCAAAGCAAGCTGGTTAGCAAGGTCAGTCATAATGGTGGGTTTGGGGTTTGATAGAGAGACCCTGCCTCAATGAATAAGGTAGAAGAGTGATCAAGGATGATTCCCAACATCAACCTTGAGACTCCACTTGCACTCACACACGTGTGTGTGCCCCACACTAGTAAATGTGCATACACACATGCACACCACATGTGTGTGAAAATGGAAAAGGGGGAAAAAAAGAGGACTAGAGTTGGGTAGGATGCAAGGACTGGTGAGAAAAAGTGAGAGGAGTGTGAGGGAGAGAAAGCTACAGAGAGGTGATGGAGAGAGCAAGGGATTGCTGTGGAGATGCCTCCTGACACATGCCACGCTATATGTTAGTCATATGTATAAAACATACCTAAAGATACACTTTTTATAGCTCATCCACCTCCATAAAATACACTTACTGAATGCATTATGTAAATTACAAACGTGTAAGTCAGAAACATATTTATTAATGTATATAATAATGTGTTAGATATTACATAATAAACATTATCATACAATATTTTTCAGAGCTAGGGATTGAAGCTTCAGATAGGCAAGATTCATTCTCTACTGCTACTCTACTTCCCCAGCCCTTTTAATTTTATTTTACTTTTAAAAACTTTTGTGTACATGTGTCTGTGTGCTAAAACAGGTGTGAGGAGGTCAGGGAACAACTTTGGGAGTCAGTCCTCTCCTTCCATCATGCGGGGGATTTAACCCAGGCTGCCAGGTGGTCGCAAGCACCTTTACTCACTGAGTCCTCTAGCCAGCCCTATTTTACTTCTTTAAAAAGAAATTTTGAGACAGAATCCTCTGAGTAGCCCAGGCTGGCTTCTCTGTAGCTTAGGCTGACCCTAAACTTGTGATCCTACTCAGTCCCCCAGGTGACTGGCATTACAGGCCTGTGCCACCAGGCTCAGCTTGTTATATAATCATTTATTCTGAGTCTGGAGAGACAGCTCAGTGAGTAAGAGCACTTGCTGCTCTCCCAGGGGAGATTCTCAGCTTCCCTGCCAGGCAGCTCACAACTGCCAGTGCCTCCAGCTCTAGGGGGATCTAGTGCCTTCTTCTGGCCTCTGTGGGCACCTGCACTCACATGCACAAACCCACACATAGACACACACACAGAATTAAAAATAAATCTCATATATATACATACATACATGTAATGTATATATAATCCCAGTACTTGGGAGGCAGAGGCAGGTGGATCTCTGTGAGTTCCAGGACAGTCAGGGCTACATAGTAAGACCTTGTCTTAAAACACACACACTCACTATATGTGTGTGTGTGTGTGTGTGTGTGTGTGTGTGTGTGTGTGTATTACTCATACATTTGTAATATTAATATTAAGGAGATATATGCCTTCATTTATGTAGACTTATTTTTACAAAGGGACTGGAAAGATGGCTCAGTGGGTAAAGGTGCTTGCAGCCAAACCTGAGGTCCTGAATTTGATCCCCAGAACCAAAATGGTGAGAGGAGAGGACAGGAATCCTGCAATTGTCCTCTGATTCCCCTTTGACCGCTTTGGTATGTGCACCTTCTCTGCAGCATACACCCAAAACCAATACAAATATAATAAAAAAGAATTCTCCTCTGACTTCCCCTGCTTATTGCAGCCTCATTTTCCTCAGCAGTTTATAAGGACTCCAGCAGCCAGTGCAAGCACTTACCCTGGGGACTGGTGGTGGTGCCCCAGCCTGAAACGCGACAGCAGGTGCCAGTGGGTAGGCAGTCGTCCGGGGAGAGTGGCAGAGTACGGATGTGGCTGCTGAGCTGGACTGGGGACTTCAGCTCCAAAAGCATGATGTCATGGTCATGGTTCAGGTGGGTGGGGCTGACCTGGTATTCAGGATGGGGGATAGAGCGGACCACCTCCATTGCCTGCTCGCCGTTCTCCACACGCCCCAGGGCATGCTTGCCTAGGTGAACTGTGTACCCACTGTGGTGCAGGAAGTGGCAGGGAAGAGACAGATGAGCCCACCTCTGCCCCACCCCAGCCCCAGCCTCTTCCCCATCCTGCACTCAAGGCCCCACATACTCTTTTCTGCAGTGAGCTGCTGTGAGTATCCATTTGGGGTGAACCAGAACGCCTCCACAGAGAAGCCGCCCATGGACCAGTAGAGCTGCCTGCCAAGGCTGAGAGTGGGGGAGGCAGGTGTAGCCACCTGGGAGAAAACCGTTGGTCCCATTGGTCCCACTGAGAATCTTGGGATAGTCCCGGGAGATTCCTGTCAAAGACGAGAAAACTGTTAGAGGACTGGGGCTGAGGAAGAAGAAAGGGCCAGTGCTGCGATTCTGGACCTGGAGAAAGGGCCGGTGCTGCGATTCTGGACCTGGAGAAAGGGCCGGTGCTGTGATTCTGGACCTGGAGAAAGGGCCAGTGCTGTGATTCTGGACCTGGAGAAAGGGCCAGTGCTGTGATTCTGGACCTGGAGAAAGGGGCAGATTATTGTTTTGGCTCACCATGGACTGAGGATTCATTTGCTATCCTCTAAGTTGCCATGTTCTATCCAGTGGGGACAAGTCAGGCAGACATTTCACCTGTACCATAGAAGTGCTGAACTGTCCAATGGGCACTGAGAAGAGAGGTTCACTTTCTCTCCAGCTCCATTTTCTTAAGGTGAAAGAGTTGACTTATGAATCTCCCTAGGCAGCATCCATCCACTTGTTCATTAATTCATCCACCCATCAATCCATCTATCTACCTACATCCATCCATCCATCTAATGGAGACTACTGGGGTCCAGCCTCGAATAGTCTTCCTCCCAGGGTCTCCAGAAGAGACACTACTAACGCTGGGAATAATCTGAGAGAAAAGAATCTAAGTACACCGAGCTCTTCAGTCCATTCACTTTATTCCTCTGAGACAAAATTCTGTCCACACAGCTCCAATTCTGCTCTCATACTTAGGTCCTCTCTGTCCCTTCTCCTCCTGTCCTCTCACAGTTCTAACTACGCGCTTCCTGTCTTCACCCTCATCTTCGTCTTCATTCCTCTTCATCTCCATTCCTCCTCGTTCCTCTCTGGGAACCGGTCTAAAACCTTACAAGCAGTCCGACCTTTACAATACAATGCAAGGCTTTCAAGGTTCCCAAAAGGGGAGTGAATAAAGGAGGTGGGGTCAAATAAGGGCTGGAATAAATCAGAAAGGGAATTTATGTGCTCAAAATATATCCTTATAAGCGATTAGGTGAAACGTTGCGAGTTTTTTACAAATGTGCTCAAACTCCAATCTTACAGATGGGTAGGTAAAAGAGTCTGTGAGTCACTAAAATAACACTGCCTTTATTTTCCTATGTTGCTGTTTTCTGGCAGGGCAGGGGAAGAGTACTCGATGGCTAGGTAACTTGCATCACTGCTTGAAGTACCTGGTATGAAGAAAATCCTTTTGTTCTAAGTAAGTTGCTCTAGGATGCCACTTGGGCCGAGAGAAAGGGAGGTCTGAGTTTAGTTTGCACCTAACATCCACCTGGTCTAGGCAGGGTCTCCATATGGGTGTTTACCTTAACGGAGGAGACCATTGGGTGGTCTGACCAGCTAGTCTGCTGCTTACCCTTGGATGCTTTGTCCGAGCTGGCCCTGACTTTAGATGCTTGCTAAAGGAGATAATTGCAGAAGGCAGACATCTAATTCAAATGCTAAAAGGGGGCAGAAAGCCTGGAGGCAGGGAGCCTTGCCTGCATGACTGTATCCAAGTACCTTATATATATATGCCCAAGGAATGATCAATCCACACTATTAGAAATCCTTGGGAAGCTATGAGAACGCACATGAAATTCATAGCAGAAAACAGTTGATAAATTAAAAGCCAAATAACACCAAATATTCCTTGAGACTTGGGTTCCTCTGGAGAAATTCCTTGATTCTTCCAGATATATCTTTGTCATAGTCAGCTGAAATTCTTACTTCATATTCCTGCAGCCCATAGCATCCATCCATCCGTGTATGTGTGTGTGTTGTATGTGTGTGTGTGTGTGTGTCTGTCTGTCTATCTGTCTGTCTGTCTTTCCATTTATCTATCCACCCACCCTTTAATCTGCCTATCCACCAGCCCATAGATTCACATGTCTACCCATCTACTCATCCATCTATGTATTCATCTATCCACTCACACACCCATTCTATGTATCCATCCATACATATATACATATATCCATACTTCTACCCCTCTATCCATCCATTCATCCAACAACCTACATGTCTATCCATCCTCACAACCACCAATCCATTCCTTTACCTATCCATCTATCTATCCACACCCCACCCATGTATCCATTCATCCACTACTAATTCATCCAACCATCTATCCATCCTTTCAACACATATTTACTGGGTGCTTTTCCAGTTCTACAGACCACCTACAAGCAGCCGTGCCCAAATTCACATTTCCAACCCCAACCTTTGTGTCTGGAAGCTCAAATGCTATCAACCCAAACACCCTCATGCACATCTTAAAGTTTGTGTCTGGAAATTGATCTTGCTCACCCCAAACTGTTCCTTTCAGTCCTTCTCATCTTGACACTCAGCCCAAATCTGGGCACAAGCCTTGCTTCCTTTCATCCCTTCGTAGTTTATCTCCTACATACCCAGTTCAAAACATTTAATATTTATTTATTTTATGTGTGTGAATGTTTTGCCTTCATGCATGTATATGCACCATGTACATGCCTGGTGCTCAAGGTGTCAAAAGAGGGCATCAGATTTCCTGGAAATGGAGTTACAGACTACTGTGAGTCATCATGTGGGTGCTGGGAACCAAACCTGATCCTCTGCACGAACAGCCAATGCTCTTAACCATTGAGCCTCTCTCCAGCCTCCTGATAACCAGTTTTACCAACTCTCTGCCACCATCTTGGAGGGAACAGCAAGTTTCCTGTAAATCTCAGAGCAGGGGAAGCAATGACAGGAGGATCCCTGGGGTTTGCTGTTAGCCGATCCAGCTGGACTGGAGAGCTCTAGGTTTAGTTGGAGAGATTGTCTCAGAAAATAAGGTGAAGAATGATAGAGGAAGACACCTGATGTTAACCTCTGGCCTACACACACACACACATACACGGGGGGCGGGGGAGAGCGTTGTGTCACTTGGAAGCTCTTTGTCTGAATCCCCACGTCTCTCCTCTTGGGCCACGCTGCTCTGGCCTCATACACCTGTTCTCCCAACATACTTGAGCCTCTCTTTGTAACTGCTGTTCTTTCCTCCTGAGTGCTTCTTCCTTATGTCAATCATAGACCCACATGTTTCATTATGCCAATCATAGCCACATATGTGTCTTGAAGTCAATTAAAATAAAACTCAAATCTCAGTTCCTTGGAGATGCCAGACACATCTCAGATATTCATTTATCCACATGACCAGACATAAGCCTGTGGTGCAGACAGAGTACATTTGAGCTGGTGCATGGAGATTCCAGAGGCACATGACATTTAAGTCCATATAACTTCTTCAGCAAAGGCTTCTGGGGCCCCTGGTCTAAGGGGTTCCCCTCCTGGACCTCAGGCACGTTATGTTTCTGTAAGGATGCTCACCAAAGTTACAGCTATCCATCTTTTCAGGCTTGTTGATGATTTCCTCTCCCCCACCCCAACCCTTTCTTCTCTATTCACTTTCTCTCCCTCCCTCCCTCCCTCTCTCTCTCTCTCTCTCTCTCTCTCTCTCTCTCTCTCTCTCTCTCTCTCTTTCCCTCCCTCCCTCCCTCTCTCCTTCTCCTTTTCTTTCCATCCTCTGTCTGCCCCTCTTCTCTTTCCCTTTCTCTCTGTTACCCTATCTCCTTTGTCCTCTCTCTTCCCGCTCCCTTCACCCCTACCATAAGCTCCGCTGACAGCAGCTGTCGGAACCACCCTGCCCAGCAGTCTCAGCCCTCGGATTTAGCATATGTGACAGCAATGGAGACACAGCTGTGGGCGGTGGGGCACGTCTAGATCCCAGTGGGCTGCTTTCTTACTATGCAGTGTCCTGCAAATTTCCAGCCTCAGCCTCCCTCGCTGTTGAGTAGGAAGAACACAGTCCTCCCTCTGTATCTGTGGAGAACTGGTTCTAGGGCTCTACAGACATTACAACCCAGGAATGTTCAAACCCTTTACATAAAGCATCACGGTGTTTACATATAACCTCTACACATCTTTCCGTCCCATCAACCCACCCCTGATGATTTATAATAGCTAATAAAAGCCAAATACTGTATAAACAACGACTACACCTTATTTCTCTGGGAGTAATGCCAATGTGAGCTCAGCACTGACTAGAAGAGTGTGTTTTTTCTATTTGCCGTATAGTTGGTTGAATCTTCAGATGGGGAGATGTGGATACAGAGGACTGGCTCTGGGGGTTCGTCACACACTAGAAAGCTGTGGGATTCATCGAACCTCCAACCTGAGCATCTTACAAATGCTTAACTACAAGGGAGGTCCCTTGTCCACCAACCCACTTTCCCACCTGCATATGCTGGGATGGGCCCCATGGTTCTAAGAGCTAAGGGCAGGAACAGAGGGTCATTTTAGTTAGGACCAAAAAATGAGACAAAGGTGACATTAAGATGTAGAGACAGGAGGATGAGAACTTCAAGGTCATCCTTGGCTACAGAGCAAGTTTGAGGCCAGCCTGGGATACTTGAGACCCTGTCTCAAAGATGAAAAAGTGAGTAAACAAATGACAAACTCGGAAGCTGAGTTGTGGTCCAGTTCTCTTTTAACTCTAGGTGTGTCCGTGTAAAAGGCTCCTGAGGAGGCTGATTGGATTGAAGTCCCTACTCTCATCAGGAGGGAGCAAATCCTTCTCCAGAACCTGTGCTTTGTAGCTATTTTACAGAAGACGAGAAGGGCCAATTAAGGCAAGCTTGGTGGTGCAGGCCTGTTAGCCCAGCTCCTTGGGAGACTAACACGGCGAGACTGCAAATTGAAGACCCACCCAGGGTACAGTAGTTCAAGCTGGCCTGAGGAACTTAGTGAGACTCTACCTCAAAATAAAAAGTAAAAAGAGGACTGAGATTGCAGGTCAGTGGTAGAAACTTCCTTGGTTCTCATGGGGACCTGAGACTGATGCGTGCGTGCGTGCGTGCGTGTGTGCGTGCATGTGTGTATATCTCTATATCTATCTGTCTGTCTGTCCATCCGTCCATCCGTCCATCCATCCATCCATCCATCCATCCATCCATCCATCCATCCATCCATCTATCCAAGTAAACTGCAGTGTACTAAGGATCTAACCTTTCGAAGTCCTAGGGATTGACCCTAAGGCCTCAATTATGCTATAGAAAAGCACTCTACCCCTAAGCTATATCCAGCCAGTAAAGTTTACTTTTCAATGTATACATAGGTGTGCTCATGTGCACACACACACACATACAATCAATAAATAAAATAAATAGAAAGAAAACAACAGGAAAATGAAGCAAAAAAGTTGAATTTTAAAAGCCTTTAGGTCAGAAATTATGCCAACAGTCCGATGGACTTCCAGAGCAGGGCATGGTGGACCAGGTAGACAGCCTGGATTAGTGTCCTGGCTCAGGTGTGGCAGTGTCTTTGGGGCAGGATCCTTCTGTCCCTGAGTCCTAGGAGTAATTGCAGTGCACCTACCTCATTGGGATCTGGAGGATTCCACAAGATGCAGCATGTGGGGCTCCTGGCCCAGGGCAAGGCACCAGGAGAGGCAAGGGCGTGAATCCTGGGTGTGGCACCAAAGCAGAGCAGCCACCCCACCTCCAGGCGAAGGCTGGTTCAGGGTGCTAGGTACTGTTGGACCCTCCTCCTTTAAGTCAGAACAAAGTCCCAGGGAGGTCTCTGGAAGCCTCCATTATATATCTAGGCTCCTGATAGTGGCTCACCTCACAGTGGCAATTAATTATTAATTATTTGGATAATTGTTTCAATAATATCTGCACAGCTCCCCAGATAGGCTGTGGATGTCACAGGCAGAACGCACGCAGTGCCTGGTGTTGTCCCTTGTAGAATAAATGATGCATGCATACATAGGGTTTCTAGAGAGTGTGTATGGGAAGGCAGAGAAATGGGCTGGGCTTGTAGCTCAACTGGTGTGTGCCTAGCACACACACAGCCCAGAGGTCCGTCCCCAACACCCCATAAACAGAGCCTGGTGGTACATACTTGTCATTCCTAATGCTGGGAAGGTAGAGGCAGGAGGATTAGGAGTTCAAGGCCATCCTCAGCTACATAGTGAGTGTGAGACCAGCCTGGGCTACAGGAGACACTGTGTCAAAAAACAAAATACAAAAAGCCACTAAAATACCAAATAAGGGACCGGAGAGATGGCCCAGTGGTTAAGAGCACTGTCATCTCTTCCAGAGGACCGGGGTTCAAGTCCCAGCACCTACATTGCAGCTCACAGCTGTCTATAACTCCAGGGGATCTGGCACCCTCGTACAGACATAAATTTTAAAAAAGTAAATAAAATAAAAATTCACGACTTTCAGAGCCTTTTCTATCACACACTAGGCATGCCCCTTCTTTTTTTGTCCCAAGCAATTGATGTTGCAGAAGAAAATAATTGTAGGCTCAAGTTTTGCTCCAAGTAGCATCTGTTAACATTTGAACCCATGTCCTGCTGGGTTTCCTGCTCTTGGGGAGGTCTTGAAAGTGGGTGGTGGTGGTGGTGGTGGTGGTGGTGGTGGTGGTGGTGGTGGTGGTGTTCTGCAAAGAGCCAAGAGAATGGGGGAGGGCTGGGGGCTTCTCTGAGCTGGGGCATCTCTGGGGCCAGAGGTGAAGGCACTGGTGTTGGTGGGCTGACCTCACCTGGGAAATCAGGTCACACAGGAAGTGTGTGGCCTCCCTGGCCCTGAGTGGGCGGGGGGGGGGGGGGGGGGGGGCGGAGCGCACGGGTTCCCCCTTCCCAGTGGCTTGACCCTTCCCACCATTGGCGTGAGTGATCTCCCTGCCTCCACCCCTGTGCCTGAGTACTCACCTCCGGACAAGGTCACGGTCAGGCAAGCGATGGCAGCCACTAGGGGCCACATGATAGCTCCGGGATGGGGGTGGGCAGGGTGGGCGGGGCCTGGGCCGAGAAGTTTAAGTGGGTATTGCAAAGCAAGCCCCGAGACTGAAATTCTCTGCGCTTTCCAATCTTGAACTTTCCGGCTCTATTCACTCTGAAATCCTTGACCCTTGAATCTTGCCCTCCGGTAATCCCATCCGCAGTGTGTGTGGGACACCCCGAGAGCTGGTAGAGGGACAGCGTGCACTCCTCTGAGCTCCAGTGCCTGCCATCACTTCCAAGAGGTCACCCCTTCCTCCCCTGCACTCTGAGGGCTGAGTCCGGACAGCATTCCCTTGCCCATCACTCCTTCCCCGCCTCTGACCCCATTCTCCCCTCTCTGGGCCTGTCCCGGACCCTGGGTCTCCTCCCTGGAGTCTAGTCTTTCTGCATGCTTAGACTCCCTGCATCTCTGCAGGTTTCTGTCTCCACCTGCGCCTCACGCTGACTCAGCTGCCCTGCGCCCTGTATCCCCTTTACCATCCCTCCTCCTTTCTCCTCCTCCTTGTCCCTCTCCAATGTCCCTCCCCCCAGGCCTCTGCCCCTCTCCTACCCAGAGACCCTACCTGAGGAGGGGCCCAGGTGGCCAACTTCAGCCTCCAACTGCCTAGAAACTTCAGCTCCGACCCATGGCTTTTAACCCCTGAGCTCCCTCCCCCAGCGCGCGCACCATTTCCCGGTGCTGGCTCCCCCTCTCCACCCCCAATGGCTCAGCTTGCTGTTGACAGGCACCCCCCAGCCTGGGCTCTGCCCTCGACTTGGAGGCGGAGCTTCTGGGACAAGCTGGGACCCAGATCTGGCCCCGCCCAAGCCCGAGTTGAACCCACTGTGAACCTTCCTGTGGCAGGACCACAGAAAAGGGGAAAGCCCACTTTCCTTCTCAAACTCCTCCCGCCTCCATACCCCTTGCCGTGCGCACCTCACTCCTTTCCCAACCTCTGCTATCACGTTGTGCATACTCTTAGTCTGCCCCCGTTCCCGGATAGTCATCCCTGAGCAGTCCTGAAATCCCACCTTTACCATAGGGATCACCCCCCATCTTCCACTCCCCACCCCTCACTTCCCCACCCCCTACCTCCCCCCCACCTTCCTCACCCCCCACCTCCCACCCCCGTCTGTCCCTCAAGGCCAGTCCCTCCACCAGAGGCAACCCAAGCTTATCTCTCAACATCAAAGCCAGCACAGCCAGTGGGAGTCTCACCTCCAGCCTTGTTTCTTCTGAAATTCAAGGTGATGACTACTTATGTTCATCACCCCCTTCCCAAGACACACATCACCATAGGTGACTGGCCAAAAGACTGTCTAGTGCCCCTGGGCTTGTGTGGGGCAGAGACTGAGCCTGGGAAAGTAGTTTGAACTAGGCTGCCTTTCAGAAGCAGTTGATGAGGTGACGGAGTGCATGGCAGGGTGGGTGGAGAGGGATAGGGCTAGGGTGTGGGGGGGCAAGCTGAGATGGGATGGGGTGGAGGAAGAGGAAGGAGGAAGGGATGGTGTTTGGGGAATGAGTAGGTGGCTTCTGGAACTTCGGCTGGGTGGGGCCCCATGAGTTAATCCCAGGGGGTGGATGGGGCAGGATTAGGGATTAAGAAGGACAGAGGTGGGGTCAGAATTTGAAAACAAGCCAAGGATGGGGATCCAGTGAAGTTTGGAAAGAGGGAGCTAGTAGAGATGACATCATTAAGATACAGGCTGGTAGGGTGAAGGTTCACAGGATGGGAGGTGGGGCTGTGGTTGGGTACAGGATTTGAGAATAGTGTAGTCCAGACCAAGGTAGTTAAGGTTTGGATGTAGAGACCAAACCTAGTTCAAAGGTTCCTTTTTAGAATAAGGTGTTGCAGGGTTTTACTAATTGTAGTTCAGTTGGTAAAGTGTTTGTCTGGCATGCATGAAGGCTGGAGGTTCCATCCCTGTACAGGGGCACACACCTGTAAGCCCAGCATTAGAGAGGGAGAGACAGGAGGATCAGGAGTTCAAGGTCATCCTTTGCTACAAGATGAGTGTAAGGTCAGTATGGACTTTTAAAAGGAGAGGAAAAAGCCCACAGCATATAGGCAATAAGGAATGCTAATATGAACTTAACAAATCAATGCTTTGCTCAGCACATTAGTCCTTAGCAATACTTCCACCTGGCAAATTTCATGGGTTTAGAGAAGAATATTTGCATCGTTCTCAGATACCTGCAATTTAAAGTTATAAAGTAGCACTGAATATCACAGGGCCTTACTGCACAGTTCTGTCATTCTAAATACCTGGAGAGGCTGAGGCAGGAGGATGGAAACTTCAAGATCAGCCTGCATTGCAGACTGAGTTCAGGGCCAGCCTGTGCAAGAGTATGCAAAGTATGAAGGGAACAGAGGCATGGCTCAGGGGTAGAGCCCTACTTAGAATCCCCCAGTGAAGGTTGGAGGCATAGCTCGGTGGTAGAGCGCCTGTCTACCATGGTAGGGCTCCATGTTCAAGCCCTAGTACTTCTCAATGGGGTAAAGAAGCATCTCAAAGACAATAACACAGATGCAGAGATGTTTTAAAATCAGATAATTTATCTGATTTTCCATTGAAGAACCTATTGGGTCTATTATCTCAGTCCTTCACTAGGAAGAGAAGTTTAGTTTTAATGTAAGAACTGAAGTGAATTGTTGTTAGGGTTCTGGTGATTCTAATGAGCTCACTGGAAATGCAGTGGGGTTGGGAAGAAGGGTACTGTGATACTAGGTTATGTTTGGGGATAGGGTTGGGTTGCAGATGGGAGGGACATGGAGATAAGGATGCTGATAGGGTCCTGTTGGGTTGGGGTGGGTTGGAGGGCAGGATGGAGGATGGAAGGACGTTGAGATGGTTGGGATTGTGGGTGAATACCAGCGATGGGAACTAGACACAGGCTGAGCATTTGTGTTGGGGTAGGTCCTGGTAGGGGGCAGGGTCACATCTGTGAGTTCCTGTTAAGGTGACTGAAAGGCCATTGTCCTTCCCCACCCTAGAGACTTCCTCCACCTCCCCGGGCAGGGTTTGGAGTGGGTGCTGAGCCCATTCCTTTCCGGTAGAGTCGGGTTCAGGTGGGGTGGCAGGAGGGAGGATGCTAGGTGAAATGAGGTGACAGCTTGTGTGGGAAGTCAGGGTACCTGTGCCCTCTTGTGGCCCAGGCTCAAGCTTCCAGTAAAGCTTTCTCACTTGGGAGGGGCTGAAGCCAGGAGTGGGGGTGGCTGGTGTTGGCATTTGTTGAGGGGTGATCGCCAGGTCAATGTTGATGTTCAAGGTTATGATTGGCCAGGACTCAGGTAACCTACCTGTGTTGAAGTGAGGTCACGGACCCACCAAGGGCTGCGCACCTTCCACCCCCTCACTTCATTAATAAGGCAGCAAGCAGCCCATGGCTGATACTCACACTGGACCAAGTCCAGGGGTACCGTCTCACAGCTCATGGTCTTTCCATGTATGGGCAGCCTAGCTGGAGAAGGAAAAGAAGAGAAGAGTCAATGTTCCTAGTGGCTCACAACTTGACACCTACTCATAGATAGCCTGAGTTCAGGCGAGGTAGTTGCTCTGTGCCTCAGTGTCCTCATTTGCAACATGGCCCCCATCCACAGCACTCACCTCATAGAAAAGAGTTAAGTGAACTAATATTTGAAGGTGTTTAGAAGAACGCTTGGCGGGGATCGTGGGTCTCCGTGTACTTATTAAAGAACCAAAACTGGAGATGGAGGCAGCCCCAAGCTTTCCAGAGGAGGCCCCACCCTAGCTTGGCTTCAAAATAGGATTCTTTGTCAAGCATAAACTGGAAGTTCTGGTTGGAAGTGTTGGCTGGGACAAGAAAATCTGCCCCACACCCAGAGTCTAATGTAAACATGAATTGACAGAGGACACAGAGGAAGAAAGGACCAGAAGAAGAGTTGACATTCCTAGTGGTTCCTATCTTGGGTCTGAGTAGAGGTGATGTAAATACACAGACATGGGAAGCCAAGGGAGGAGGAGGGCAGAGACATGGGAGAAAGGCTGAAATCCCCAAGAAGACAGCAGACTCTTGGAGACTGGATGTCTCAGCTGGGTCCTGTCATTAGGAACACTGAGTTTAATCCCCACCACCCTCATTCTCTGCCACCAGAATAGAGAGAGTTCAAAAGTCTGTCTTACCAGCTACCTGCTTCTGCACCACACCCTCTGTCTCTATCCCTCTGTCCCTGTGGCTAAGACAGACCCCTCAGGAGCCTGTCCCTCCTGACAACTCAAGGGTGCTGTTCCAACACCCTTTTTGACAGGACAATCAATAGTTTTTCTTCCCCAGAAAATGTCCCATTAGCATAAACTGGTAGAATTTCCCCCGTCTATCATAAGAAAATAGCAATGGGGCACACCTTCTTCCTCCAACCTTGGCATCCCCCTTCCACTGCTGGCCCATCTCTGCTCCCATTTGATTCAGTTCTGTCTCTAAAATATCGGCTACACTTCTGGCATGTAGTTCCCCTGAGCCTATTCCATGAGTGCATTCTCCCGGTACCCCCATCAAGGGCACCTGTGGCCTCATCCAGTCACGTGGCTTTAAATATTATCTACAGGTTGACAACTACTTCCCAATTTAATGTCTCTGGACTCTTGCTCCGGGGCTTTCAAGTTTAACATCTGCCTGCCCACTCCGCATCGCCGTGTTCTGCTCCTCTCGATCTTCTCGATCGTCAGTGGCCACACCATCCTTTCCTTACTCAGCCAGAACTTGGCCTTGACTTTGGGTTCCTTTTCTCACATCATAGATCATTCTTCTATGAACCCTCCCAGCTCTACCTTCCGAACAGATCCAGAACCTGACCACTTCTCACCATCTTCTTTCTTGCTCCCCTGACGTCTTCCTGGACTCCCCCTTCTCAGCTGGGCTACTTTGAGTTCCCTGTGTGGTCTCTTTGCTTCTGCCTCTGTCTGAACTCTACATTTTAAGTGTGTGTGTGTGTGTGTGTGTGTGTGTGTGTGTGTGTGTGTGTGTGCGCACACGTTGTGTTTATAATTGAGGGAAGGAATGGACCAGGGTGCACTTGTGAAGGTTGGATAGCAATCTTGGTTGATGGTCACTGCTGTCCACCTCGAGATGAGATCTCTCATTGTTCACTGCTGTGTGCACTAGGGTAGCTCCCTTGGGAGCTTCCAAGAACTCTCCTGTCTTCGCCTCTCACCTCTCTGCAGGAACATCGGGGTTACAGATGAATGCTATAGCTTCCAGCTTTATGTGGGTTCTGGGGATCTGAACTCGGGTCCTCGTGCTTGCATGACAAGCACTTACCCCACTGCACCATCTTGACATCTCCTATCCATAGCCTGTTTTCAACATATACAGATGTCGCTTAGCCATACGAACCCAGATGAACGAGATGGTGTTAGCAGGCAGAATGTTCCAAGGACTTGGAGATTATCTCCCAGGAAAGAACCATATTTTCCCCTTGTGAAGTGCAGAGTTCGAAGAACCCAGACCTGCCAGGCTTCACAGCTATGCAGAGGGACCTCTCTCTATTTTCTTTTCTTTTTGAGATTTATTTTTATTTTATGTGTATGAGTGTTTTGCCTCCACACCATGTACGTGCAGTGGCCACAGAGGCCTGAAGATGGCGTCATATCCCCAGGAACTGGAGCCACAGCGGGTTGTGAGCCACCTTGT